GAAAAAGAGAGAAAGAGAGAGAGAAAGAGAGAGAGAGAGAGAGAAAGAGAGAGAGAGAGAGAGAGAAAAAGAGAGAAAGAGAGAGAGAAAGAGAGAGAGAGAGAGAGAGAACGCGCAATTATTATCGATCGCAAAAAGAGGGTAAGAAGTTACGTCCGTTGTAAACGGTGTGGGATGTAGGTACGTATACATCGGTTTACTCACTTTAAAAATAGCCTGTAGAGTACGGCGCTGAAGGTCTGTGAAAACTAGCCGCGGTTTCTTGGGGGCGGCCTGTTGGTGTTCTGCCTGATTCGCCATCTCGTCTTTCCTCTTGCATGCTGAAATTACACGGAATCGGTGAGAGAGAAAAAATGGTGCAACGAGAACAAGGTCGCAGTTTTTTTTTTTTTTTTTTTATATCAAACGCACGCGCTTTCGAGAGAAACGCGAGTTTAGAAAACACGCGCGCGTTTTCCTTCGCATATTGTTATTACGGCATGCAATCGACCAGCATTGGAAGTTTCTTGAGTCTCGGACAAGCCATAACTTATAGAGCCAAAATCGATAGCAGCGTCTAGCCTCGGTTGCCTCTATAATGATAACGAGGTTCGCATGTGGCAAAATAGTCCTTCTTCTAAAACGCCTGTTTATTATTGAATGACAAATACCGGACTTTAGATCTGATAGTTTTTGAGTATCGGCTAATTATTCGGTAATCCGTGAAAACTCTTGAGAATTACACTCTTGAGGATTACACGTTGCCCGCTCGTTACACAAATGTTTTACATTACGTTTTGAAATTTTATAGGTTGCATAAATTGAATTTAAAAAGAAACTAATTGAACTATTTTTTATGACATTTTCCTCATGTGAAGATTGATGTCGATCGAAATTAGACGCTACTATCGGGACGAAAATTTCTTTTCGTCGGGTGAAAATCTCGCGTCATATTCCGATCGCTTAATCAAGTTCTTCAATTCGCGTTCTTCCATTCTTGAAATACAAAAAGGCCCGAACACTGTGACACGCCGTAACATTTTTCCACGTTTCCGTATTCTTGCTTCTGCGCCCCCTAAATGGGTTTAATTGACGATAATCGCAATTACGGAACGAAAAAAAGTGCACAGAGATAGAAAGAGGAGCGAAAAAAAAGGATGTTATGAAAGAGAAAAAGAGAGAGACACAGAAGGGATCGCGGAGAGAGGTGGTGAATAAGAGAAAAATGAAGTTGCGGATTTTTCAAACATAATTTAATCGTACTTACTTCCGCGTTGTGGAATCTGTGCAGCTGAAAGCAGAAAAAAAAACCAATGTTAGTCAGAGTAGAAACAGATAGATATCGCACGACCTTTCTTTTGCCTTTACTTATTTATATTTTTTTTTCTTACAGGTCGTTTTTACTTTCGTCTCGTATTTCTTTTCGCGCTCAAGACAAAATATACATTAAAATTGATTGTATAAGGTTAACGTTAATAACGTGGCATGTTCACAAGTCATTATATATACGAGTATAATATATATATATATAGGAAGGAACTGAGTTGCATACACGAATTCCAAACTTAAAACTACTCTGGCTGATATAAGTCATACACATTACTAAAGGGGGTACGAAAAGGGCGGCGAGAGGGGCGGATGCAAGTGTCCACAGATTCGCATTCTCTCGTTCGTATATATGGATGGGCGGGGGCAAGAAGGGGAGATGCGATGTGGCAAAGGAACTTTAATCTGAAAGTTCGCGAGGCCCGAGAGCTTTCGCGAGTCTCAGATTCGAAGATTCGTGGATCCAGTTTTGGAGAATTTTTAATTTCCATTTGTCCGAGAAGAAGATTGAAATATTAGTGCAACAAAAGAATTTTGCTTCGATTAAAAGCTTACGTTGATAATTTTGTCGTTCGTACGTAACAATTAATAAACATGACAACAAAACGTCATGCAAAATAAATTTTGTTTCTACGCGCGGATATTTTCGTCGTGCCGGAGACTTAGAGGATCCAGGAAACTAGGAGTCCGTGATGTAGAAAAGCGAGCTTTGTGTTTTTGTCTTTTTGTGTAGAAACGGATAATGTTGGCGTTTTGTTTGCGGAGATCGATATATTTACATACATATATATACACACACATGTATATGTATGTATGTATGATATTTTCATGTGATCTCTCTTCTCTCTGAATAACATGTCAGTGTGTGCCGAACGCGAACGATTTGATTAGTTGATCACGAATTAGATTTTCATCCTTCAAGATGATACGTCTTTGCGCGAGGACGAGAGAAAAAATTATTTCAAGCATTTTCCGTGCCATCGCGTGAGAATTACAGTAAATCCGGATTATTCAATCAATTAATCCGCTTAATAATAAGCGCACAAGTAGTCACGATATATATTGATGATGACAATTGATTTTATATTTCCTGCACAAATTTCTTATCGCTCGAAGATGCGATTGATTTATAAACTCTTTTTCAGAAACGCGCGGGATCTTCGCTTTGCGCAAAAATAGAAGATGTAAGAAAATTGACCAAAAAATATATGTATATTCTTTTCTGTTTTAGATGAATATTGAAAGAAATTCAACAAGATTGATTAAAAATATTATTCGAGTAATTATGTAGTTTACGTACTTATAATAACGATAATTTATAAATGACGCGCGTACAGTTTAAAATATAAAATAAATCAATGTGACTTTATACTTACATTTTGTTATTATTGAGTAATATCGAACGTGTACATCGCAAGAATATACTTATCAAATACAGCTATTTTGAAAAAGAGAACAAACACGTCAAGCTCTTGCGGTATTCGGTTTTCCGTAAGTTTTATTACACATATATTTGCATTGTATGTCAAACGATACGAAGTCGTATCGAGAGAGCTCTCTGAAATAATAAATCTAAATCAATGTTACATTTTGATACGGTTTCGGAAATAAATCGCGTTTCTTCCTGAAACAAGCCTGTTTTTGAAATGTATAAAACTGTATAAGAGAGCTCGGCGGTTTTCCATTTAATTTTACAAGTTCACGAAGAGAGAATCGTTGACTTTCCGCAGAGCAAAAAAAAGTAACACTCCCGATCCCTAAATTGCGGCTGCGCGACACGCACATACATGTACACACACTCACGACACAGGACACATACATGAAATAAATGCATAATAATTGATCACCAGGCCGCACAAAATTGTTAATAGCTATTCGAACGCGCAATAGCCCCTCCATTCATCTATGAAATAACTATATTTTGTTGTTTCGAGTTTAATGGCCCTTGTCGATCGATATAAGCGACGATGTCTCGTTTATAATAATAACAACGACTGCGTCGTTTTCAATTTGACCGTAAAATTAGTTCGAAATTGAAAATGATCTCGACTTTTCACGTCACGCGCGTCCACTCTTCTCTTCTTTCCTTTCATATTAGGTATGTAAATTAAAAAAAAAAAAAAAAAAAAAAAAAAAAAGAGCAATTGTTTCGCTTTATTCATTTTTTCCGATGGCGATATCGAACGGAGAAAAAAATGTTATATTTAAGACCCATTTGCTCGCGAGTCTTTTATTAAAACCTTTAAAATCCTTTGCGCGAGAAGAGGCGGGAGACACACACGTCTCTTTTCTTTCGTTTTTTTGCGATTTAAGTAAATGAATTATTGTCATTAATAATATTGTCATTTACAGAATGTTAAATATTTTCGTTGAGGATATATGCTGCTTATCGAGCAGAGAAAGAAATATAGAAATACTCCAGCAAATAAACTGAGAAGGAGAGTAATAAAAGAAACTCGGAAAAATTTGAGGTCTTCTTTCGTGTCCATTCGTAAAAAGTTAATTTTCCAACAAAGCGTATATCGATGAAAAAGAGAGAGTGAAAGAGAAAGAGAGAGAGAGAGAGAGAGAGAGAAGAGTGAAAAGGAGAGAGAGCAAATGTCGATTCGTGTTGTGAGAGAAATGAAACCGTTAGAAACGAGACTCGCGCGTGGTGTCGCCGACACGATCGCTGGAGAGCAAAAGTCGCAGGACGGTCCGCGAGATAAACGCGAAAGGCAATCGTGTGCCATTAGCAAGCCGCCGATAACGAGTGAAAGAAGCGCGCGCGAGCCGGGAGGAAAAATGGCACAGAGAAAAGAGGGACAGCTTCGGCAAGCGGAAAAGCCAGGAGGAAGGGAGGATGGAAACGGTAAGGGCAAGCGGATGGGACGAGATGGAAAATTGACGCGTTCATTATTGCCCGGAGCTTTGGGGGCGGAAAACAAAGATAGAGAGAACGAGAGTGAGAGAAAAAGAGCGGAGAGGTCGCGCGAGTCATCGGTGATCGACTTGCGAGGGCCACAAAGTGCGCCTCTTCCGGCGCTCGAGACGATTTATTTATCCGACGATTGACAAATCCGCCAGCTTGAATAATAACTATAATCGCGCGCTCATCGTTAAATAGTCAAATTTGATATATTCGGTATATGATTTTTTTTTTTATAAAACACATTTTACGAAATTAGTTTTAAATAAATGAAATTTATTAGAATTACTTCTAAAATGTTAAGTATTTTTTTACAAATATTTTATTTCTTATACTAGTGTTTTCGATTGCAAATCACTTTATTTCTTTAATACACGCAAAAGTTTTGGAACTAAAGACGAGATAATGAAATTGGCCGGGGAATTGCGACAGCATATTCGCGAAACACATATATTCAAGTGCGATCAAAAATCGTTTTATTTTAGCTGTTATAACATATATCATATTTATCGTTCTATCGCACGTAATTTCATTTAGCGCTTTAATCGGAGATTACATATTTGTTAGACATGAGTTGTGAATACGATCGGAAATTGCCAGCAAATTAGAATAAAACAGAGAGGAAAACGCTCGCTCGCGAATTGTCGATTCTGTCAAATTATCGCGTATTAATCAATTTATTTATAATGCAATATGAAAATAAAAGTTATCTTTCTTACGCGTTTTCTAAGATTCCGGGAAATCAAACGGTAAGACGCGGTTTTTTACAGCGATATTTTAAATTGGCGTTAATTCAATTTGTTACACAATGTGTTAACACAATTGTCAAATATCGTAGTGATTTTTCTACGAGCGTTCGATATTTGGCGATATATCAAAATATATGAAATTTTGTACACTTTATACACTGCGTGTCCGAATTTTTGTCTAGCGCGACATGTAAAATATTTTACTGTTTGTGAAAACTGTTCTGAAGAATTCTTGATGATCTCCCGAAAATAAAAATATATACATATCTTAAGTAATCAAATGGTTACACGAAAAACCACAATTTATATCTCGACGCGGCACAATGAAGCATTGATGTATCCCACTTGCAAAACTTTTTCGGACGACGGTCTTCCAGACGACCACTTTTGCACTTTATATGACTTTGAAAAATAACACGAACAAATTTGACCAAAGACATATCTCAAAGAAACAACGATATTGCTAATTATTAAATTAACATTAATCGTGTACAAAACAAAAATGAGGATCCGACGTCATCCGTGTAACACAAAAAACTATTTGATCTCGACTTATGTTTAATTAAATCTGCAAATAAAACAAATATCTAACTATGGAATTAGAACAATAAAGTCGAAGGTGTTACCACAACCAGGGATGGTTAACATATATCGAGCGAGTTTGTCAACGAAGCGGTCACTTTGACGAACAGTCCCGGTGGCCAACGGCAGCCAATCAGACCGCGTGAAAAATCTGGTGGGCCATGCGCGCGCGCGAGCGAGCGAGCGCGTTTAATCAAACGTGCTTCAAAGTCAACGACAATGTACTCGTTTGTGTGGATCGCGCACATATGTGTCCATGCACATGTATGTGTGTCTGTATTACAGACGAAGGTAACAAAAGCGGAAGTGGTAGTGTAGATGCTCCCGATGCTTTGTGTTCGTCGAAGAGAGACGCTATTTGCACGAACGAGAAACGCTCGCAACAGTTTTCACGTAGGTCAAAAGGTTACAAAACGGTGTCTTGCCAGAAAGCGCACGAGAAAAGGAAACTCTCTTGATCGTCGTCACTAAGTTTAAACGCGGATTTAGGTCGAATATAACTGAGGAACTCTATTTCCGTGCGGCGTGTGCACGATAATAATATAGACATTAAATTACAGTACAATGTTTTTCATTTAGAAATTTCATAAATAGTAATTTTAATCTTAAAAATAACGACTACAAAGATTAAAAATTTTAAACAAAATAAAAAAAGAGCCAAGACAAATTTCGAAAATTCTGAAGACTGCCGAATCGACTTAAGAAGTCAGTGTGATGTATACCGGA